ATTAGGCCCAAAACCAAATGCTTCTAGAGTTTTGAACAGAAATGGGTGCTCTAAAGAATCAAAAGCCTTAAAGAAATCAAGAAATACTACAAGGCTTTCATCAGGGACAACATCATTGTAATCTAGCATGTCTAATATTAATCGAGTGTGATGTGGATGTGCCGTCCTTTTATGAATGCTGATTGTGTCTCATCTATAATTTTACCAATACCAGTCTTAAGTCTGTTTGCATACACATGAGCAATAATTTTATAATCACAACAGAGGAGTGTAATTGGCCTCCAATTATCTAGAAATAAAGTATCTTTATTTGGTTTTGGTAAAAGGGATATTATTCCTCGCTTCATAGTTGGGGTCAAGTTATTTTTCTCAATGCATTCTTTGAGAGCCTCAAATAACAGAATATTGATATCATTCCAGAAAAACTTATACAATTCTGTAGTTATCCCGTCAGCGCCGGGTGCCTTACTTTCTGCCATCTGGGCTACAGCAGTATTGAGTTCAGCTAAAGTAAGATCTGAGTCACATAAGTCTTTAAAATACATGTCTACAGGAGGAATTCTATCTTTGATAGAATCAAAGAAAGAGTCAGCATCAATAGTTGAACATTTTGTATCGTATAATTTGTTATAGAATTCAGTAATGTGCTTATTTATGACACCAATTTCATCAATTAAATTATCATTGATATTCAATTTATTTATAGTTTTTCTGCCTTGTCTATTTTTCTCCAAGTTAAAAAAATAGGTAGAATTTTTTTCACCGTCTTCAATCCACTTGGCTCTAGAACGGACAAAGGCCCCTTTTGCTTTGTCTGTGTACAAATTGTCTAATTTTGTTTGCATTTGATTTAATTCCAAGGCGTCCCCATCATTTAGACTTGATGAGGTACTCAGCTGACTTATTCTAGAAATAATTTCTATCTGCTGTATCTCATCCTAGCTAAGAATTTTCCTTCTTCATCACTTATCTTTTTTACATTAAACTTGAACCATTCCCATTTACTGGAAGGAGATAATTCTGACATGTCTTTAACTTCCGCAACAAGTGATTTGATTCTGTTGCAAACATTTTCATTTTTAAGGAGGCTACAATTGAATTTCCAATGGACCATTTTTGGTATGTGTACGGAATTATCAGATTGAACGGTCAGTGTGGTGGCACAATGATCTGTTAAAGGAGAAGGTAGAATGTCACAGTTTGATGAGGCTGAGACTAGATTTTTAGAAACCAGCCAGTAATCAATTCTTGAACATTGCAAGCGTGCTGAATTATTACTCCATGTGAACTGACTCTTGGTTGGATTGAAGTTTCTCCAGATATCAATAAGGTCGAGAGGGTTGGCAAATTGTGTAACTATAAAGTTGGGGCCGGCATTATTCTGTGCAGGAAGTCTATCCACAGATTCACAAGGTACAGTGTTCAAATCCCCTGCTACTACAACATTATCTGTAGAATAAACATTTTGCCAATTCCTTATCATATGTTGTAAGTTATCAAATAACCTTTTATTTTTTGACCTGTTATTGAACCCATACACATTTACCAGAATATATTTAGTGTCATCAGCTTCAGCAACTATCATTAACCAATGCCCTTCATTATCGCTTTTTTGGTCTAAAACTTTACCATGGAATTGATTAAGGAAGATTGCCACACCGGCTGAATGAGATGTACCATGAGAAAAGAAAGTCACCATTGCCCCATTGTGTTTTCCAAAAACTAACGTCATCATTAGTTGAATGTGTCTCCTGAAAGAAAAAACAGTTTACTTTAATTTGTTCCTTACTGTAAAGAAAGATTGCCTTGCGCTTAGTGCCATTTCGAAAACCACGAACATTTAAAAAAAATAAGGATAATACCATAAATAACCAGAATAAGTGAATACCTTTCAATAGGCTCAAAATATAAAACATACCTTCAACCAAAATTATAGTTGGATAAATCTATATTTTTCCTTCTTTTTACTAAAAGTGTCCAAACCAACAAAAGGTGCAATGAGAAGTTTTTTTTTCCTTTAACGTAATCAATTGTAAAACTTTTTTTTTTTCTATAAACAAAAACAAAACAAAACATTTGTATCAAACAGTCATTTTTCTACCCACTCTGTTGAACTGCAGTGGAAATCTTCATGGAAGGATTCTGTGGATCACTCTCCCGTCACAACACGTCCATCGATGACAGCGTGTCCCTCTCTCAAAAACGCCTTCAGACCTCTCTTCTTGGCTTCCTCCACTTTTGGCCACAAACGAAGGAGAGACTCGCGATCCTCTTTGCAAAAGTCCTCTCTGAAGCGAATGTTCATTTCTTTACAGATCCTCGCATTTTTAGACATTTTCCACACTTGGTCACGAACAGTTCTCATGGCAAATTGTAGTATGATTTGTCTGGGTCTGTCAGACTTTCCCCTTTGACCCAGCCGGTGCACCACATCCACTGTGCTGTGCAGATGCTCGTTGCTGACAGGAACAACATCTTTTAGCACTTTTATCACCTCTTCTCTTGTATTTTCTCCGTCTTTTTCTGGCAACCCGTTCAGCCGAAGGGACCAGCGGCGTTTGTATCTGGAGTGTTCAAGGCTCATTTCCCGGAGAGCAACATTTTCTTTCTGTAGCATATTTATCTGTTTCTCCAGGCGGATTACATCTGCTGCTATGTCTTTCACAGCTTTTGTGTTGGCTTCCACTGACTCTTTAACTTTTAAAACAGCGTCTGTATTCTCTTGAAAACGACGGTCCATGCCATGTAGTAGCTCGCCTTGAGAGTCGAGCTTGCGTGTCAACTTCATGATGAGCGTGTAAAGAGCCGTGTTTGATACCTCGTCACCTCGAGGTGCTTGTGTGGTCTTCCTCTGCTTCTTTGGGTGAGGGCTTTGTATTGGGGTGTGCTGACGAGTCTCATTTAAGTCGTCAAGTGGCACATTTAAGGGATCGGCGAGAGAATCTTGATTCCGTTGTTCCATCCAGGCAACATCATCCTCATCACAGTCATTTTGGAGATCGGCTAGGCAGGAGTAGCCGTGGCCTGTAACCTGCGTTGACATCGTGTATGTTGAGAAAAAAGAAAAAAATACTTTTCAACTCTGGCTTAGAATACAAAAACTTAATATATTCGATGTTGTTTAAGTTCAATTTGCGGCCAGTTAACGTGTGATTGAAGGTTTTAAATCAAGTTAATATCAGAGCTTATTGAAAGTTTTACCGCTCACTCCGCCATCTTGGAAAAAACCCTCTTCCGTCCCGATTCCGTATATGATATAATTGTCACTCCCGTATTCGTCCCGGAAACCGGATTCGTCCGGAAGTTCAGTTTGATCCAATGAGCTAACGCAGCAGTAGATTACGTCACGGAATCTGGACGGAAGCGGAAGTAAATATAAAAAACTACCTATTCATGCCTAAACTTAACCAGCCATTCCCATAAAATAACCCCAACCCAGCCTTAACCCTAAACTTAACCACCTTAAAGGGGACATATCATGAAAAATCCACTTGTTGTGCCTTAAATGCCTTATGTTGTGTAATTGGAGCCTCTAGAAGTGCAAAAAAGTTGAAATCAGTCTCTTCATGGGTTGCAGAGAACACTTCATATTCTGTTTAGGTAAGATATTTCAACCCGTTCTGATTTTGCCATTCTCTATTACGTGTTTAGGATTATTACGTCACAGTATTTGCAGCGAGACTGCTATATAAGGGCATGGGCGTCTAACAAAACACTTCAGCCCAGCCCTCCTCTACTGTGCATCACTTAATTTGTAGTCCAAGCTCAAGGATGCCAGCGAACAGGGCTGGACTGGCCATCGGGCGTACCGGGCAATGCCCAAAGGGCCTATGCCCATAGGGCCGATGCCCAAAGGGCTGATGCCCATATTTGGGGCGGTCTCTCTGCCTCATACAAAACACATGTTTATGAGAAGTGTAAATCCGTTGAGAATTGTTGGAGCGGGGCGCGCGTATCCGCGGGGCCCCTGCTGTATGTACTCGAACAGGATTCCGCCACCTCAGTGGCCGCAGTGTTCCGGGGCATCTGCGGCCGCTTTGTAATGAGCAGCTTCCGCGTCCAGCGGCTGCGAGAGGCTGTGAGCGTCCAGCAGCTCGCAGCCGCTCCACCGTGTTGTGGCTGAGCGCGCGTGGCCATGTACCCAACCCCATAAAACGCAGGACCATGCGTGTCTTTGAGTAATCTGTGCACCCAATAAATACACTGCTGCAGGAAACAGTCCGCGTCTCCCCTCTCCTCTTGAAGCGCGATTAAACGCCCTAAATAAAGCTCTGGTACCTACATTTTGCATTGCATTAAAAGTTCATGTTTGAGCCCAAAAGTAATATGTTGTGAACAAATTAAACAGATTTAGAGCCAGCCAATGGCTGACATTATGCATTTCAGTCTTTTTTGACCAATTCTCATCCCTGTAACAAACAATAGTGTTGTCTGTGTCAACCTCCTTCACTCTGAGACATGTTTATTACTCTCTTGTAATGTAGACTATTGCATTTTATTTTATTGTTGAAACTGCACATATCCTGATTATAGGAGCCAAATATGTGTTTTTCTTTGCGTAATTGGTCTTTGTGTCCATGAGGGGGCGCATTCATCTTTTATATGAATCATGAGCTCAGGGTTGAGTGCAGGTGTGACCCAGAAGGGCAAATTGGTTTTTGACCGCACAAGCGGAGTTTGTTTTTCACTGTTTCTCGTGTGATACCACTGTGGATCCTTTTAATAGCACTGTTAAATAAATGAAGATTATTGCATCGTACCTTTTGAAGACTTGGAGGATTTTATTGAGCACAACAGAGCAACCACAGCATAGCCGCTTAGCGCGTCATCAACAAGCCTGGGTCTACAGCCTCACACTAGCAGCATTGGGCTGGCTATTATACTGTCAAAAACCAGCCGATTTGACTGCGCAAATGAAGTAAAGTAAACTTTGGAAGAAGAGACTTTGGAAACGTGGAGCCCGTACACGAGCCACGGGGTGGAGCGGTGGTTGCGGTTATATGCGGCTACGTGGAGCAGACCGAGCTACAGGACCGAGCTGCAGGACCGAGCTACAGGACCGAGCTGCAGGACCGAGCTACAGGACCGAGCTACAGGACCGAGCTGCAGGACCGAGCTACAGGACCGAGCTACAGGACCGAGCTGCAGGACCGAGCTACAGGACCGAGCTGCAGGACCGAGCTGCAGGACCGAGCTGCAGGACCGAGCTACAGGACCGAGCTGCAGGACCGAGCTACAGGACCGAGCTACAGGACCGAGCTGCAGGACCGCGCACCGCAGATCATCGCTGGACAACATTGGATCACACAAAGGCGCCCAACGATCGAGGTATGTGTAGCGCTACACCCAAGGCCTTTTCTGTGTGCACACATTAAATCCAATGCATTGGTAACGCCGTGGAATATATCTGAACTCGTTCACGCGTTCGGGAGCCGTCACGTGACTATTTGACCTACTTTCGTGTTGTGTCCTCGGGTGAACTCTATCGCGAACCTGAGCTGTCGCGAGACTTTATTGCGTCTACACGAAGATAACTTTCACTGGATCTTACAATGTTGGAAATGGACAAAAATGTTGAACAGGGTGATAATGAAGTGGAAAGTCACAAGCGCAGCATTAAGTTAACTGAAAAGGCATTAGCTGAGAAAATGGATAAGTTACAGAATACAAGAAAGTCTAAACTAAATAAAGCAGGTAACATTCGAAATGAGCTAAAAGAGTTTATGTCTGAGTGTGATAAAACAAAGGTTTTAAATGCTGTTGATGAATTAAGAATTGTGTGTGATGATGCACAGAGGTTTCATGAGACATTGTTGGGTTTAATGTCAACTGAAGAGGGTGACAAACATGAAGTATGGTTCAGAGCTAAAATGCTCCCAAATAATGAATGTTTTTCCACTGTAAAACAATGGCTCTCTCAAAATGAAACTAACAAAGATAATGAAAATGTGGAAATTACTCCAGCAGACAGTGTGTCAAATGCAGGAAGTTACCAAAGTAACAAAAGCAACAAATCAAATTCATCTGCTAAATTAAAGGCAGCAGCAGAAAGGGCTGCAATCCTGGCACGTGTGAAAATATTAAAGGAGAAACACGCTATCGAGGAAGAGGAGGCTAAGCTTCGTAGAAGGAAGGAAATGTTGGACTTGGAAGCTGAATTGGTGACCTCCGAAGCAAAATTGGAAATGTACAATACTGAGGAGGAGCGCCATTCCCAAGTAAATTCAAATGCAAAGGCCACAAGCATTAAAGGAGCAACATGGAACACTCTAAACCCTTCTGCCAATTCATTCATTCCTCAGGGCAAAGCTACAGAAACAAATGAAATAAATCAAAATGTCCGCCACACAGCAGTAAAGGGTAAAATAATGGATTCAAGACCAAAGGAAAAACCTGCCATCATCCAACAGCACCACCAAGTGAAACTCAATCAACCCACAATGGAAACTCAAATGGATATCAAACAAAATGAATCTTTATCACACATCAGTTTACAGTGGCCTGCAGAGCTTCTCAACATTATGAGCAAACAAACTGAAATCACTGCAGCTCTAATGAATCAGCAGCGATCCATGACACTTCCCCCAAGAGACATTCCTATCTTTGATGGTGACCCACTACATTACAAACCATTTATAAGAGCATTTGAACAAGGTGTGGAAAGCAAAGCCTCTGTGGCCGACAGCTTGTACTATTTGGAACAATTCACCCGGGGACAACCCCGTGAACTGGTGTGCAGTTGCCAGCATATGCCACCAGATCGTGGATATGTTGTGGCCAAAGCTCTATTACAAGACCACTTTGGAAATCCATACAAAACCGCTACTGCATATATTCAAAAGGCTATGTCATGGCAAAATATAAGAACTGATGACACAAAGGCACTCCAGAGCTATGCCCTCTTTCTTCGAGGCTGCTGTAACATCATGGAGGAGCTTGAGTACATGCAGGAGCTGGATATGCCAGTAAACATGAGGGCTATCCTGGTGAAACTGCCCTACAAACTGAGAGAGAGGTGGCGAACCAGAGCACATGACATTATGGAGTCTACTGGATACAGAGCTGGATTCCATGACTTGGTGGAATTTATTGAGCGTCAAGTAAAGATTCTTTCTGATCCTTTCTTTGGTGATCTGCAGGACTATAATTTAAGTGTATCAAATCAAAGAACCTTCAAATCGCAACCAGGAAGCGGAATGAAAGGAAATGTGGTGGCCAGCACTGTAACCGAGAATACACATGGAGACGATGGAGAAAGTAGCCAGACACTATCAACCACAGACCAGAACAACCAGAAAAACTGTTTATGCTGCTCTATGGAACATTCACTGGAACACTGCAAGCAGTTCAATGGGAAACGACACGTAGACAAAGTGCTTTTGCTGAAAAGAAAGGGAGTGTGTTTTGGCTGCCTTCGACAAGGCCACATCAGCCGTGAGTGTCAAGCGAGGCTTACATGTGAAATCTGTAACCAAAGTCATCCTACAGTGCTGCACATAAACCGTCAAACACGTGCCCTGGAAGGTGAAATGGAAACGACGCAAGTACCAACTCCTCACACTACATGTGGACATACAGGGGCCGGAAAGGACCGCACTATGCTACCGGTGCTGCCAGTTCAAGTCAAGGTTGTGAAAGGGAACTGCATAATTCAAACATATGCATTCCTGGATCCAGGTAGTACGGGGACATTTTGTTCGGAAAGGTTGATGCATCGGCTTAATGTAGCTGGAAAACGAACGCACATTCGTCTGCGGACAATGGGTCAGACAAGAAAATGTTCAGCTTTCTCATTGTTCAATCTCGAGGTTGCTGGACTACGTGGCACCCAGTTCTACCCACTTCCAGAAGTCATCACACAGCAACAAATGCCTGTCACCACGCAAGACATGGTTAAATCCGATGATCTGCAAAAATGGCCATATTTGTCACAGGTTCATATGCCATTCATAAATTCAGAGGTTGACTTGTTGATCGGAGCCAATGCACACAAGCTACTGGAACCATGGGAGGTAGTTAACAGTCAAGGAAACGGACCATTTGCAGTTAGGACTGTGCTCGGCTGGGTTGTAAATGGCCCATTGGATAGAAACGCAGATCCTAGTATTCAAAGTGTGACTGTGAATAGGATTTCAGTCTGCAAATTGGAGAAACTGCAAGTAAAACAGTACAACTATGATTTTAGTGAGAATGAAGCTGAAAAGCAAGACACATCAATAGACGATATTAAGCTTATACAAATGATGGACTTGTCTGCAAAATTACAAGATGGAAAATACTGTGTGAAATTACCTTTCAAAAATAACAATGTCCACTTACCAAACAATCTTGCTGTGGCCAAACAAAGGATACAAAGGTCGAAGAAAATCATGCGTAACCTGGAATTCCACCAGAGAGTAAAATGTAAGCACAAGCAAGCAAGTGGATTGAACGCAAGTCCTGTGGCATATAACACCAAAGGCCGCCCAAACACAGTGGTTGAGCCCACAAGAGTGTGTCTAACATTGGACGAGGTGGATAATGCAGAATTCTCCATTATACGTTATTGTCAGCGACAGAGGTTCAAAGATGAATTGGAGGCCCCACAAAACAACAGAAGAGTAAGTTGCCAGAGTTTCATATCTTCTCTGGATCCTGCTCTACAGGATGGATTGTTGAGAGTGGGTGGCAGGCTAAACAAAGGTGCCATGCCAGAGGAAACAAAACATCCGTTAATCCTGGCCAAGGAACCTCATGTAATCAGGCTCATCCTGAAGAGTGCCCATCAAGATCTTGGACATGCAGGACGGATGCATACTCGGTCATCAGTGAGAAGGAAGTACCAGGTTATCAAAGGCAACTCTGCTGTGCGGAAGATTATTGGTAAGTGCAGCATCTGCAGGCAATACACTGCACAACCCTTGGATCAAAAATTGGCAGACTTGCCTGCAGTCAGAATTCTGCCTGACCGTCCTCCAATTACGAAGCTGTCAGAAGATCCACACAATTTGGAACCTATTACACCCAACCGCTTGTTGTTGAGAGGCAAACCCTCCCTTCCTCTTAGAGTTTTCAAACCGGAGGACCAGTATGGACGGAGGAGATGGAAGCAGGTTCAATACCTAGTCGACCGGTTCTGGAAGAAATGGGGTTAGAGTATTTACCTTTGCTCCAGAAGCGACAGAAATGGAATGAAAAGATCTGGCTTTAGGGTATGTTGTGGACATTATGATCCATCGGCCCACGGGGACCTGGGCCTCTTAGAAGAGTTTTGGAGGTATTCCCAGACAGTCACGGTCTGGTTCGATCCGTGAAACTCAAAACAAAATCAAACTAACTTGAGAAGCCAATAGCCAAACTGTGTCTGGTACATGGCTTTTGAAGTCACAAAATAAAGCAGAATTATTTGTCTCCTTTTGTTTTTGAAAATGAATTGCCATGACTGTTTACCATGCCAATTAGGGGCCGGTGTATAGGAGCCAAATATGTGTTTTTCTTTGCGTAATTGGTCTTTGTGTCCATGAGGGGGCGCATTCATCTTTTATATGAATCATGAGCTCAGGGTTGAGTGCAGGTGTGACCCAGAAGGGCAAATTGGTTTTTGACCGCACAAGCGGAGTTTGTTTTTCACTGTTTCTCGTGTGATACCACTGTGGATCCTTTTAATAGCACTGTTAAATAAATGAAGATTATTGCATCGTACCTTTTGAAGACTTGGAGGATTTTATTGAGCACAACAGAGCAACCACAGCATAGCCGCTTAGCGCGTCATCAACAAGCCTGGGTCTACAGCCTCACACTAGCAGCATTGGGCTGGCTATTATACTGATCCTCTACAGTATTTGCTTCCACATACTGTATCAACTAGGAGTCGGCAACCTGCTGCTCCGGAGGCGCATGTGTCTTTTTCCTTCTGTAGAAGGAAAAACGTTCTTAACGTTTTTAAATGCTGTAAAATTGTGCATAAGTAATATTCAATTAAAAAAATTCTGTCAAACCGGCGTGTGAGCATCATAGACTGTGCGCATTGATCCCAAAGCTAAAAAGAGAAGAGTCGATAATAAGATTGGACTAAGAATGAAACTTGACATTTGCTTTCAGTCAATGAGGAAGGCCTGCTTCATGTTTGCGATGTAATGAGAAGTTTCTATGAGATAATTGTATCTGTGCTTAGAAACTACAAAAATGGCCGCTCGGGGTGGAGTTGAACCTGTGTCACCTGGATGGGGGCGTGGTCAAAACCGCCTCATTTGCATTTAAAGAGACAGCACCAAAACAGGTTGCTCTGAGACGCACCTCAGAACAGGTGTAGAAGAAAGGCCCGTGGAGCTACAAATAATGAGACTCAGACCCAGGCATTGCAGTTACGCTTTATATAGGCCACAAATTAATGATTTAGATGTAAAAATCAATTATTTGAAAACACGATATGTCCACTTTAATCAGACGCCTAAACTTAAAGAGCGACTAAACACCTGTGCCCAGCCTTACTCCGCCCACATGTTACATAACAAGTGACTTCATTTCACAGTAATTAACCTGAAATTAACACAATATCTGCAGCGAACAATAAAATACTGAGATTAAAACCATCAATAGTTAAACGCAGGTTTGCATTCTTCATTTCTGGAGCTAAATCATTCACATAAATTGCAGATAAAGTTGGAGAGAAGACAAACAGCCTCAGATCATTCACTGCTCACAGGCGAACAGAGCCTTGTGAAGGGATTTTATACATTTATACAAATATCCAGTAATGCTACATTTAATTCATTTTTATTCCAGAAACTGTTTATCCAATCAAAGGCTTCAATCATCAAAACAAAGTAGTTTAGTTTTGCTGCAGTCTGGCTCGCACCACAGAGGACAGAACATAGATGTGCTCAATGCTCTGTTCTTCCTAAATCCATTCTGCTCATCGACCAATATCTGATGTTGTTGAATGTTTAGATCCAGAAAACAATGATTCTGCTGCACTTATCAGGCTGCTTCCTCTGCTTCAGTGGATTCTCTGCTGGAGAAGATTTGGGGATAGGCTTCATGCTCACCCTCGCTGCCCTTCTTCCCTGAACGTGTTTTATCACAAACACAGAAGGAAAATCCAGCCACAGACGACAAAAGGACTGACAAGCTGCAAGAAGAAAACACACTTTATCCAGCATTCAAAAAGAAAAGAAGAAGTGAGGAATCTGAAACAGCAAACACAAATATAAACATACATGAACAACATGATTGGGACGTGTCATAAACAACACGACTGTTGGCTCTTGGAGGAAACAAGGAAGTAGAGGAAAGGCCTGTGGAAGGAAGTGAACACTGTCCTCAATAAAGCATCAGAAGACAGACTCTGCCTCAATACTGTGGAAGTCATGGAGCAGAAATAACACACATGAAAGAACTAAACTACTGCTTTATCCATGTGGGGCCAGAGCTGCATCAACAACCATTCAAAACAACAACAACTCTCACAGGTTCTGAGTCCAACACTGAAAAAGAAGTCCTAGACATTGTTCAAAGCATGAAAACAAAAAGGTCACAAGATCGAGACGATGAGTTTGACGTCTGCACGACCAAAGAAGTCATCAGTGACATTTCCCGGCCCTTAACTCATATATTTAAGCTAACGTTCTCTACTGGATCATTCCCATGTCTAATGACAACTGCAGAAGTCAGACTCATTCACAAACCAGGAGACAAACTGCTCTAACTAGAGCCCAACTCTATCTTATCTCTATGTTCCAAAATACTGGAAACGCTCTTTGTAAATAGAATGGAGTCATTTATTGAAAAACACAACATCCTAACAATCAATATGGATTTAGAAAGGACAAATCAACTGAACTTGCATTATTGTCTGGACTAGTTTTCCTCCTTTGATCTTCCTTCATGGTCCCAAACAGACGACATATTTGTATTCATCAGTTCATTTCTTTGAATGAGGGCAGTACATATGAATGTGTCAGAAACAGCTTCAACATCAAGATGCTGGAATTAGCACAAAAGCTAAAATGCATCCTTTGTCCTAAAGCGGCAGAAGAAACAGATGTTTAATATATATGCTCTGTATGTTCATGGGGAGGCTGCACCTTTTTACTTCTTTCTCCATTTAGAGCCCACCACTTGGAAACACAAATACATTTGTACAAACACATTGATATTGTAAATATACTAAAACACCATTTAGGCAACATAACATGTATAAGTCAATATTCTGTACTATAACAGAGTGGGGACATTTTTTTTCTGAACTAAACTGCAGATCAAACCTCTGTCTCCTTCTACATCACGTCACTTTGAATCTTACAGCTAATTTCCACAGTAGGCGTTAACGGCGCGTAAGCGTTTACTGCGCGCATATGCACTGTATCCAACACATCAGTGAGTGGATGCAAAACAACTTCCTTCAGCTAAACGCAGACAAAACTGAAATGATTGTCTTTGGTCCCCAGAAACAAAGAGAGAGCGTCATCTGTCACCTCCAGTCTCTCTCCCTAAAACCTTCAAACAAGGTCAGAAATCTAGGGGTAATACTGGACTCAGACTTACATTTTAATAGCCACATCAAATCAGTAACATCAGCAGCTTTTTACCATCTAAAAAACATTGCCAGGATCAAAAACATAGTGTCTAAAGCAGACTTGGAGATTCTTATCCATGCGTTTGTCTCCAGTAGGTTAGACTACTGCAATGGCCTGCTCACAGGTCTGTCCAAACAGGCTGTAAAACAGCTGCAGTACATTCAAAATGCAGCAGCTCGAGTCCTGACTAGAACCAGGAAGTACGACCACATTAGTCCGGTCCTCAGGTCTCTGCACTGGCTTCCTGTGGCTCAGAGAATAGACTTTAAAACAGTTCTGCTTGTGTACAAGTCTCTCCATGGCCTCGCACCAAAATATATTAGTGACATGTTAGTCCCATATGAACCAGCCCGGACTCTGAGGAGCACAGGGACTGGACTCCTGCTGGGACTCTGAGGAGCACAGGGACTGGACTCCTGCTGGGACTCTGAGGAGCACAGGGACTGGACTCCTCGCGACAGCCTCGCGTCATATGCACATACAACACTAGTAGTGTAAATAGTAGTGTCACCATTGGTTAACATGGAAAAATGTTAGATGTTAACTAGAACTCTCTCGAACTACATGAAAACTGAACAGAGAATTTGAAACTTCAGCAGTTAGTGACCCAAATATATACTCAACCTAAATTCATGAATCAGATCCTCTGGAAATGCGTCCTAAAATGTATTATTAATGTTTATCGTTACGTCCAGGTTTACCGCGGTCGCATATTGTCGCATTAAAACAGTGTTTTTTCATGAAAACGTGAACAGAAAATTCTGAAAACCTCTGTGCACGTGTATTAAGAATGTATATGTATAATGTATTCTCCGATTAACATTTAATGTGTTTATTGTTACACCATGGATCTATGTGTGGCTACACTGCAGTGGAAATAATGAGATTACATTCAAATCAATGGAGCTTTCTGCGTCTACTGTGAGGAGCCGTATATTTTATTAATAAATACTAGTACGGGGCGGCGCCCTCGAGCACGGCTCAGTTGTTCACATGTCTGCTGGCCTTCGGTAAGTCAGATACCCTGTGAACCGGGTGAGGTCCTGTGTGAGACCAAATATATAACAGCTATGCTACAAGCTAAGCTACAGTCTATGGAGCAACCCCACGTTGCAGTCAGACAGATATGTTTTATCCTTAAACTTCTGTTTGTTTCGGAGTAACACTAAATCCGCCATCAAATTGATTTTACTTAGCAGAAATGAAATGATCCGAGCATATTCGGGCGCTCTGGGGGCTATTAGTTTTTTGTTGTTGCGTATGGTTGTGCCATTTCTCTCTCGTTTCTTTGAGATTTCTTCTGTTTTTGAGCCGTGTGAAGTAAGGACGGCTGGCAGTCGGTAACACAACTTATTTTCCCTGTCTCTCCTTTTGCTGCAGCCAAAAACGGCAAACATTTTGAACATGTTTATGCGGTCCCGGGTGCACGCCACTATTATACAGCGTTTGCTTGTCCTCCAGTATGGCGGATGCCCCGCGAGTTCGAGGCATCGTGACGTCACGTGAGATATCTCATATATATATATATATATATAGCTCGTAGTGTGAAAAAAATATTTATTTAAGTATCTCACGAAAAAAGTAAAATGAACTGAACTTTGAACTAGTTCAGAATTAAAAATGTGAACTTTGAACGTGAACTGTTCTGTGCTTTAGATGGTGATGTAGTGTGTCCAACAGAAGGAGCCTCACCTGTGGAGCCACTGACAGAGGGCCTTCTCCAGGCCAGCGCTGTTGTAGCGGTTGGAGAGACCTCAGAAGGCTCCTGCCGCAGGAATCCCTGTGGGCCCTGAGAAAGACCACACTGACGCGGCCAAAAGAGCAAACTCCTTCATATTCTCTGCAACTAAATAAACATGTATTTATAAATGTCCAACAGCAAAAGGAACATGTCCCTGGATCAAAGTCTTTACAGCGACAGTGGAGGAACATGACCCTGAATGTGACGATACAGAAGGAACAGTGAGTATATGAACTGTGTGTAGTGTTGTTGTGTGTCGTGTTTGGCAGATGTGTAGAGTCTGCCTCAGTCGTGTTTTACAGTCATCATCTTTTCATCCATTCCTCCACAGTTCAATGTTTTAATTTACATTTTTATTAAATTAATCATTATCACAGACACACAAATAGATTTCTGGCTTAAAGCTGCACAAGAGGATTTTCCCCATTTTTAGGAAAGAACCGACCTCTCCACTGTACCAACAGCCTTAATAATGAGATTCTTCATGAGAAACTCCTCGTCTTTGACTCAGAGGTTCAAAATGAAAGATTAACGGCTTATTAACCGAGCGCGAGGTCTTTATGGAGAAATATCAGACCGCGGCCTTAATGTACAGACCGAGCCGTGGCGAGGTCTATGCAAAAAGGCCAAGGTCTGATATTTCTCTGTACAGACCGAGCAAGCGAGGTTAATAAATGTTTTATTATATGACTCTCGTCTGTGTCTTTACCAATTTGTGAAGTATGTTCATGTCCAACTTGGTTTTGTGTGATACGCGCTGCGGACAGATTGTCATGGTAACGGTCCGAGGAAAGATATCAAAAGAGCGCACGTACGGTCCAAGTCATATAATAATTAGGAATATTTAAACATTTCTTTGGAATGGATTTTGAACAAACTAATGGACAATTCAAGATGTCACAAGAGGGAAACGTGAAAAAGATTTCAGAAAGGTTTGAAATGCCAAATGAGAAAAACTCCTTTTGAACCTAAACTTGATTATACAGACAATGTTAAAACAGCCCCGACAACACAGAGAGGCAGTGGGAAGTGTAATTTACTGATCTACTTGCACCAGACCTGACATCACTTATGTTGTCAGTAAACTTTCTCAACACTTTAGTGAACCAACTGTGGAACACTGGAATACAGTGAAACATGTGTTCAGGGATCTCAAAGGTACTACTGAACAAAGACTATACTTCAAAAAGAATACCACAGAAAAACTTGGTCTAAAAGTTTACTGTGAGGCAAGTTGGGCTCAAACGAGACAGACAGACGTAGCACATCAGGATATTGTGCCAGTCTGTGTGAAAGAGAGTTCACTCATTTCATGGAAAACACAAAAACAACCGACAGTAGCCCTTTCTACATGTCGAGCATATCTCTTTAGCTTCAGCTGTACAGGAGTGTCTTTACAGCTACTTCAAGATTTAGACAGTTACAAATATGTTAAAACAAAAGTGTACTGTTACGCCTTTCCTGTTATAAGCCCCAAGACTGATGTCGAGGGGCGCAGGGGAGATTTGCAGCTCCAGGGCCGAAGGGGTGCTTTCCTCCGGGGCGTAATTCCCTTCTTGTTTGACCCTCGCTGTTAAGTGTGGTGCGGATATAGGGACACGGACTGTTGCTCAAGAGTTGGCTTTATTATCTCTCCCAAAAACAACTACGCTCCCTGTCTTGCTCCGGTCGCACTCTCGCTCTTTCCTAGCTTTCACTCTGTCTCTGTCTACCGGCGCGCTCCCACACACACACACACACACACTACTCTGATCTCACAACACTACCCCCACCCTGGATGGCAATGACCAATTCCAATCCAGTAACATAATAGAAAACGGGTACACATTTCCCCTAATAGCAGGCCTGAGAATAACTAAGAGGTAGCAGTGTCCATTATAACTAAACAGGTAGGCTTCAATACAAGAAATGCTGTCTACTCAGTGACATATTAGCTTATTTAAGGCAACATGTGAACATCAGTGATTAATAAAAAAAGGTAAATAATACACTTCTTAATTATTGTGGCGACCGGGAGCAACATAAAACTGACTGATAATTACAAATATAAAGTTACTTATACAGATTAAGCATGACTAAAGTGCACAGGTATAGAAATATACAGACTCTTGAGCATTCTTTTTTTCTTTCAAACTGCAAAAAATAGAAAAAGGTGCATTTAACAGATACACAGAACACAAGACAACTGTTTCAAAATATAAACTGCAACGTCTCTAGTGCAACTTCAGCCGTAGAATATAGTCTACTCGGTTAACCAGTCACCATACCGGTCCGGAGCTTGGCGCTGACGTCTGGAGTGCAGTTCCACAGGGCGCGGGGGGTGTGACCCTCCCATCGCACCCCCACCCACCATGGTCAAGTGTGACATGGGAAGGAGAGGATGGAAGGGACCCAACTGCATCGGATGCAGACAGAAGTGGCAGCTGGGCATGGCTAGCGCCGTCACTGAACACCGGAGAGAAGAGGCTCAGCAAACCGAGGTCCTGGTCAGCGACGCCTTGGTCCACAGCACCCCAGGCAGCGGTATCTACGTCTGCGGCGTCCCCGTCAGCGGCGCCCCCGTCAGCGGCGTCCCCGTCAGCGGCGTCCCCGTCAGCGGCGTCCCCGTCAGCGGCGCCCTCATACACGGCTGGAGGCTGGACCTCGGAAGCTCCAGCCGCTCACGCATTTGCTATACATACTCTGGGGTTGAAAGTGCACGGTCAGAGTCAGGGGGCAAGCCAGCTACATCATAAAGTTCAGGTTTAGGTTGGTTGGCTCAGGTTGGTTAATTCGACTTTTTCAGTGTCATTAAGGTCAACGGAACTCTGGGCATAGAGTTCTTTGAGGTGCTCTGGAACAGATGGGGAATTGATCAGAGAGTCTGTGGGGTCTTTGGATGAGGGAACAGTCTCTGCTGGATGAAGGAGACCAGCAATGGCGCCTTCTTTAACAGTCAAAGGTTTATTGCCCGGGTTGAAGAGGCGCAGTGGAATAACTTTGGTGTGATGAGCATGGATCTAGCGATGAGCACTTTGTGTTTCTCAACAAAACCTTTTGTAGGGCTCAGCATCATGTCTCCTTGTATAGCTTCATCAAGGTGCACAGTGCCTTTGACCAAATACTCCTGTCCGGGCTCCATCACAAGAGTTCTGGCTATTCTCACAGCATGCGATCTGGACACAGTCTCTGGGTGGAAATAGGGCACTTCTTCACCGAAAAGCACAATGCGGTGCTTACCAAAGTCGAGACAGGCTTCAGCTTGCGTGAGAAATGAGTGACCGAGCAGTACATCCTTCCCTGCAATGTCCGCTACCAGGAAGTCAACTTCGACTTGACGGTTGTGAATATTGACTGGAACTTTGGTTTCACCCAGCACCGGAACATCACCAGGTCCCACTCCAATCAAAGTCTCTACTGTAGATGGGCTCAGATGGGGCCTCATGCCTCTGTGAATGGCATTGTAATGGCATGAAGGCAGCACGCTTCTACGAGCCCCAGTGTCCAAAACAGCACACACGTCCAGCTCGAATATGCGTAAATGGATGCTCATTTCACGATTATTGGCTTTGAGATGAATTATGGTGGGTTGTGAGCTTTCACGGGGAGTGCTAGGTGCGGGTGGTCTAGCAGTCCTGGCTGTTCTGTGGGGGGAGGAGCACTGATTGCGTATGTGTCCCCAGCCATTGCAATTATGACAGCGGACGTCAGTCTTCTTAAAGTTTTTATGCTGGTTTTGTGTCTTTAAGGGTGTGGTTGGAACATACCAGTTTGGCGCGGGGTCTGGCGGTGGTGTAGCAGGAGCAGCCTCAGTCTCCCGTACAACAGCAGTGCGGGGCCCAGGCTGCATGATGCTTGTGACGTATGATGCAGCTCTCTTCGTTGTTTCATGGCGATGAGCTATTTCATAAGCTCTCGCCATTGTGGACGGGCGAGTTTCCAGAAGTTTTTGAATAATATCGGCATCGCCCAAACCATTTGTGAAAACTTCAACAGCAATAGCATCCTGCTCCCTCTCGGATCTGTCACCATAGGCCACAGCCACTTTTCCATAAATATCGTCCCGGAAAACATGCAACGCCTCACCAGCCTGGCGTATTCTCTGCCTCAGTTCCACTGCAACCGCTGCCGCATGATCGGAGGAAGTGATATGTCACAGTCCTTGGTGGATTAATATATAGACTCTGGAAGGGGAAGGTACATGCAGCTGGGTTGTACGAAGCTGGCGTGCTATGTACAAAACCTCCCGTGTGACTTGTGGCTCCAACAAAAGGGTTTGTGTGGGCAAACTGCGCGGGAGCAGGCAGCGGGGCGAACAAATCTTCTCCCTCCATAGACCGTGAGCCAGTATAGACACTATCACCGCAGCTCTCGTCACATAAAAATGGGTTTTAATGATCGCACTTTACTCCATTCCTGTTTGCATCTACACCCACAGCACTTTGCGCGCTCCCACACACACACACACACACACACACACTACTCACAAAGCTACTGCACTTGTGAGATAGGCAGATCTCACAACAGTACGAAGACAACTAAGGAACAATAACACTCACAAAGAATCCTGTCAACAGACAAAGATGCAAGCACATGACGTGAAAGATAATTTCCTCATAGGTGTTGTAACCACAGGGAAGGTGGTTTTGGAATATTGTCCTACTGATAAAATGATAGCTGATCTTTTGACAAAAGCTAAACGTTTTTCCAAAGAAAATGTTTCGCATGTAAAAATGTATGTAAATGCATGTATTGTTTTACCCAGTGAGCTAACAGCGAGTGGGGTGTTAAAAAATATTATATCACTCTTACTCCCTGTCTAACAGAAGCTCTTATTTTGAAGGCGCTACAGGATGTAGTCATGTTGTTTTATCGCTAACTTCCTCTATGGCTCATGCTCCCTGTGCTGCCAAGCTAACCTTGCCTGCAAGCTGAATTCTCGCGGTATTTGTGAGTTCACAAACACTCGAGAATACATCTTGTACCGCTCCCGCTTACACTTTTCGAGTCGAACCACTGGGTGTGCGAGCCAATCACGCGCCAGTCTGGGGGTTTAGGGCGGGATATCCGGGTTTGACGAAAGCAAGAAGTGCCGGGCCGAAGCAAAACAAACATGGCTACGCAGGAGGACGGACGCGTAGCTGAGGCTATCAAGTCAGTTTTAGCAGAATCTCCAATTTCTTTTTTGAAAGATGAACAGCGAGAGGCGCTTTGTGCATTTCTGGACGGCAAAGATGTTTGTGCATTTTTACCTACGGGTTTTGGCAAGAGTGTAGGCGGGCACACAGCGTCACTTCGCCCAATCAGCTTGAAGTATTCTGCTGCTTATCCCTCCTTTCCCCGAAAGGATTCTCCGGGAGAAATCCCAGATTGATATCGCGGAGAACGCGTTAGAGTTCTACACAATCATCAATCTGGCTCTTGCCAGGTTACTGCCAAGCTGTTCAACAATAAATATTCCCAGACAAGAGGCTAAAGATACCAACGTGAGAGCATCTGTCCTTAACAACGATCTTTGATCTTTGTGCTTCATAAAGTCAGCAGCTGATTGGAGCAGAGGGAACATCTGCATGATCCCCGTGTAGAGCTCCTTCTACCACCGCAGCTGCTCCTGCTCCGTGCGATCGGTGAGTGTGTGTTATGCTAGTGCTGTTAGCGTTAGCATTAGCCACAGGCCGCTAGCATCTTTTACCGTCTGTTCAATGTTAACTTTAACGTTCACTTCGTGTTTATATTGTTGTCTTTTATTCTCGAATATTTGTGTTTTTATTGTATAAACAACTGTGTAGCACCGAGTCCAAGACGAAGTATCTCTCGAGGACAAGAAATGTTGATAATGAAAACAAATGTGTAACTATGAAGAGCAGACAGAAGCTCAGTGCCTTCAGAACCATAGACATATAAAGAGTAGACGCCGCATCTACCGCTACTGTCTATTGGCGCCAAGCCCCGGCGATCCAAGATGGCGCCCTATTTAAATGAATGGTTGTGCTCAGTGGCGCTTTGTGACACCGAGGTAAAGTTAGCCGAACGTTTGATATTCGCCTGATATTCGAACAAAATCCCCCTGGATTCAAAGTCTGTCCGTATTTTCAGTTTAGTGAAGAGTGTAGTATTAAATACTGTTCACAATGTTGCCACCTATCAAAAAAAACTTGACTTAGGCTGCAGCTGACGATTTATAACACGAAAAACAATGAAGATGAAGTCTCCGCTCATACTTGTGCTAAGCTCTCAACAAGGGACTGTCTGCAAAGTGCAAGATTTGACAGAACGTTGCAGATGGGTTGGTGAATACAATAAAAAGGGTGTGTTTAAAAAGTAAATTTTCCCAGTTTTGATGGGTGTAGTAGCTCCCATTTAATGATAGCTAGCTACTACAGCCAAACTTTTGGGAAAAATATGGTTTTCTCCTTCACAGTAACAAAAAAGAAATTGGAAAAATTGACTAAAAATCAACAAAGATATTTTTCCCAGTTTTGATGGGTGTAGTAGCTCCATTTGAACAATAGCTAGCTACTACAGGCAAGGATTTGGAAAAAATACTGTTTTCCCTTTCACAGTAACAAAAATGAAATTGGAAAAATTAACTACAAATCAACACTTTTTTTCCTCAGTTAGTTATAGTAGCTAGCTATAAGATAAGATAAACCTTTATTAGTCTCACAGTGGAGAAATGTCAGTGTCATCGTTGCACATTACAGCAGAGAAAGGAAATAAGAGCACTCAGATTGCACACATCAACAGTGTAAAGTGACTTGAATGGGAGAATTATCAGATGGATATGAATAATACAGTAATATATCAACAGGTAAAGTGACGGTGGAAGGCAGAATTATCAGATATGAAATAATACAGTAGTACTGATAACAGTAAATATCATATGTAGTAGTACTGATAACAGGTAAAGTGACTAGTGACAAAGTTACTAGTGAATTATCAGAAACACTTGTGCAGACTCAGCAGTTCCTGTTACACATTCTCGTTGTACAGTCTGACAGCAGCAGGAAGGAAAGACCTGCGAAACCTCTCCTTCACACATCGAGGGTGAATTAGTCTGTCACTGAAGCTGCTCTCCAGAGCAGAGAGAGTGTCCTGCAGGGGGTGACAGTCATGGTCCAGCATAGATGTTAGTTTGCTCAGGACCCTCCTGTCCCCCACCTGCTGCACTGTGTCCAAGGAACAGCCCAGGACTGAGCTGGACTTCCGGATGACCTTGTCCAGCTTCTTCCTGTCCCTCTCTGTGATGCTGCTGTTCCAGCAGACCACACCGTACAAGAGGCTGATGCCACTACAGAGTCATAGAAGGTCTTCAGGAGTGGCCCCTGCACTCCAAAAGACCTGAGCCTCCTCAGCAGGTAGAGGCGGCTCTGGCCCTTCTTGAAGAGAGCGTCTGTGTTATGAGTCCAGTCCAGTTTGTGGTTCAGATGAACACCCAGGTACTTGTAAGAGTCCACTCTCTCAATTCCCTTTCCCTGAATGTTCACTGGGGCTGGAGCGGCATAGTGACGTCTACGGAAATCCACCACCATCTCCTTGGTCTTCCCCGCGTTGATGAGGAGGTGGTTCTGCTGACACCAGTCCACAAAGTTCTGTATAACTCCTCTGTACTCTGCGTCATCGTCCTCGGAGCTGAGTCCGATGATGGCAGAGTCGTCAGAGAACTTCTGTAGAACACAACCGTCCGTGTTGTGTCTGAAGTCCGCAGTGTAGAGGGTGAAGAGGAACGGTGCGACGACTGTCCCCTGGGGGGCCCCCACACTGCAGGTCAGGACCTCAGACACGTAGTCCCTGGTTCTCACAAACTGGGGTCTGTCTGTGAGGTAGTCCAGGATCCACTCAGACAGGTCGTGGTCCACACCGGCTGTCTCCAGCTTGTCCCTGAGAAGCCTCGGCTGGATGGTGTTGAAGGCGCTGGAGAAGTCGAAGAACATAATCCTCACAGCGGTGCCGGGTTTCTCAAGGTGGGACAGCGAGCGATGGAGGAAGGAGATGATGGCGTCCTCGACTCCAATGCCCGGCCTGTAGGCGAACTGCAGCGGGTCCATCGCTGGGCTCAGAGTGGAGCGGAGATGTCCCAGGACCAGTCTCTCCAGTGTCTTCATGCAGTGGGATGTTAGAGCCACTGGCCTGAAATTGCTGAGGTCTTTGGCCCGTGGTTTCTTGGGCACCGGTACCACACAGGAGGTCTTCCAGATCTGTGGTACCGACCTCAGGCGGAGGCTCATGTTGAAGACGTGCCCCATAACTCCGCACAGTTCGTCTGCACAGGAGCTGAGGAGCCTGGCGCTCACATGGTCTGGGCCCGCCGCCTTCCTGGTCTTTATTTTCTTCATCACACCTCTCACTTGAGCAGGTGTGAAAGAAAGGGGAGGGCTGGGTGAGTATCTGTGTCTGAGGGGGGGGCGCGGGGCACTGACAGAGGTGTGAACGACTGGGCTATTGTCCACTGCTGAGGCGGCTAGGACATGCGGCTGAGCTGGGGGAGGGGTGGGTCTCTGATCAAACCGCAGGAAAAATTGGTTTAGATCATTAACCCACTGGGGGTCCCCCACAGGCTGGACAGGGGGTGTTTTGAAGCCCGAGATGGTCTTCAGGCTCCTCCAAACCCCTGCCACATTCTATTGTTCAAATGGAGCTACTACACCCATCAAAACTGGGAAAACTGTCTTTGTTGATTTTTAGTGAATTTTTCCAATTTCCTTTTTGTTGCTGTGAAGGGGAAAACAATATTTTTCCCAAATTCTTGCCTGTAGTAGCTAGCTATTGTTCAAATGGAGCTACTACACCCATCAAAACTGGGAAAAATATCTTTGATTTTTAGTGAATTTTTCCAATTTCATTATTCCTACTGTGAAGGGGAAAAACATATTTTCCCTAAATTCTTGCCTGTAGTAGCTAGCTATCATTTATTGGGAGCTACTACACCCATCAGTTCTGGGTAAAAATATCTTTGTTGATTTTTTGTGAATTTTTCCAATTTTATTTTTGCTACTGTGAAGGGGAAAACAATATTTTCCCCAACATTTTGGCTGTAGTAGCTACCTATCATTAAATGGGAGCTACTACACCCATCAATTCTGGGAAGAACATCTTTGTTGATTTTTAGTCTTTATTAGTTGTTTTGACCTCTTGCAATTTGCAGACGGTCCCTTGCGAATATCAGGCGAATATCAAATGTTCGGCCAACTTCACCTCGGTCTTTGTGACGGCATGGGGGCTGAAAGATTAGCGGAAGTTGCCTGAAACTCGCAAAGATCTATGGGAAACTCGCCTGTATTTGGGCATCGTCTGGTCCTCCCGGTTCTGCGCAGTGGATGATCTCCCATAATGCGTTGCGCCAAACACGCGTGTGTGGGTCTCACGCACGTGCACAGAGGGGCTCGGCCGCGCTCTGACCAATCAGAGCGGGAGTTAGAGCGAGAGCCAGACGAGCAGAGTTTGTGGCACTAAAGTGTGGATTTAAACAAAACCGAAGGATTTAAGAAGAAAAAAAGTTCAGGATGACAAGGGACACTAAAATCCCCACAAAATCCGACCTTTATGAAAGCTGTAGGTTCTCTTTCAGCTGAGGTTGAGCTGTTTTAATATGCATTGAGTTCTATGGGGAAAATTTCTGGGTAGCCCTCGTGAATTTAGTCTGGTTCAGTCTGCAGTACCGCGAGAATCCCCTGAGCACATGAGTTATTCAGCTACAAGCTAGTAATACCCTATCCAGTTATTATAATAGATCCATGATTGGCGCCGACGATCCGTAGCGCCGCCATCTTGGACCGGTCGTTCCCTCCTCTCAGAGTAATCTGTTTAGCAGGCGCAGTGACGACTCAGCGCATTTAATCGATCATAACTCACTGAATACTTTACCGATTTTCACACTTTTTTCTTTACTGTAAACATCACACATGTAGCTATAATACAATATACATGGTTTGGCGTCTATTATTATTCATAGTGGGTTTAACAGTAATATAATATTCTGATATATGATTATATGATGTATGATAGGTATTTTTGCAAAACACACAATGTTGTGTACATACAAAAGTTAGGGACATTTGACTTTCAGATGAAATGTATGAAATTATGCAACAATTGACACTGAACAGTTATACCTTTTTAATATATGATCGAACCCTTTTATATACACAAATATATGATAGAAGCCTGTATAAACACTTAGATAAATATATAATTCTGACAAATAGAGCCATATAGAGCCATATATCTATCAAATAGATGGATTGATATATGGTTCTATCAGATGGATAGATTATATATATATATATATATATATTAGAATACAGTATATACACTAAAATATGGTAAAGCTCATACACTATAATATGATAGAGCCCATATACACGATTAAATGATAGAGCCATGTGTATACACTAAGCAGTTAGTGGCAGTAAAAGTACTAAACTCAATCTTTTTACTGAGTTGAAAAATTAAGAACAACAAAACTGGTATTTTGACAGTGAACCAAAGCTGCTGAAACTGTGACTTAGCCTGTTTGCTATTTCAATGCTCCGATATTATATATATATATATCTGATTTTGTTGGTGACATAAATACAGTTCGGTAATAATCTATTCACAAACTACTATCAACAATAACGGTCAAACTTACTTGTGAAAAGTATTCCCCGAGCCCTGTTTTGAATAGTCCACCTATTTTGACAGCAATACCCCGCACAGTGCTCAGGCATTGCGCTGTAGGAGGACCGGTCCAAGATGGCGGCCGCATTTCTCGTTCTCGAGCGGCCAATGCGGCGTCTGCTCTTTATATGTCTATGTTCAGAACATCCAGGTCGTCAGCGCAGTGGTCATTACACCTCAGACTTTAAAACACACACAACCATTTTGTGTGAATTTGGATTCACACAATCTGTAGTTTATATAAATGAGAAATGTTGTTTTGTCTCATTGAAACATGGAGAATTATGTATAAATCCATGTAATAAAAAGTGTAGTTTTATTCCAATGAAGTAAGTAATCTTTATTTATATACCACCTTTCTGACTTTTCTCTTGTTTAAACATGATTACAGCTGTTTGGCCTTCATGCCCAGAGTAGTTTTTTTTCATTGATTCCCTCGAGAAAAACAGAAATTAGTGAATTCAAATCGTGACTGCACCAATCTGTAATAGGTCTTTGACTTTTGTACAAAAGTCATTCAAAATTTGTTTTAGTATTTTAAATATTAGAATATATTTAAATATTTCATTTATTAAACAGCTCCTAACATTATTCAGCAAGTACAACAGGCTTTCAGCAGGAGCCTGTCTGTGTTATAGATCCATGGTCTGTGCAGAGAGGCTAACCTGCGGCTACTTCCTCTAGCGCGTAATCATTAACATGAAACGAACATTTTAGGACACATTTGAAGAGGATCTGATTATGGATTTAGGTTCGGTATAAATGGGTCACTCACCGCTGATGCTCAGAATTCTTTGTTGTTCAGTTTTCATGTAGTTCGAGAGAGTTTTTGAACTAGCTAGCTTAGCTGTTATCCGCCTAGCCACGTCACAGCGACCCCTTTGGGAGCTAACCATTTTATTTACAGTCATTAAATAAATTTAGAATATTAAGGGCTGTTTAATATTCGTTCGAATAATAAATATATATATATAAAATTTTTTTTTTTTGATATTCGAATATCAAATTTTGAAGTCAAAGCCCTAATCTGTAACGTCAAAAGCCCGCCTCCAAGAGGTGATTGACAGCGGGGAGAGACTGAACCAGCAAATCAGCGCTGTCTATGGTCAGCTGCAGCCTCTCAGAGTCCAGCGTGTGGTCCATAGACTGTAAATAAGCCTCTGTGCTTGTTTGTGTTAGCTTCATGTGACTTGGCACGGTGGCTGAGTGGATAGCACTCTCGCCTCTCAGCAAGAAGCTCCTGGGTTCGAATCCCGGCCGGACCAGGGCCTTTCTGAGTGGAGTTTGCATGTTCTCCCCGTGTCTGCGTAGGTTTCCTCCGGGTACTCCGGTTTCCCCTACCACTAAAAATATGTCCAATAGGTCTGGCATGCGCCTCCTGTTCGGCGACCCCGCTCCCATCTCTGTGTGGAGTGAGAGGACAAGTGCCCAAAAAATAACAATTGTAAACCGCTTTGTGACTCTGGTCTGTGAAAGGCGGTATATAAATAAAGCTTACTTACTTGGATAAAATGTGACGAGAGTATTTGTTTCTGAAGACTTTGTTCACAAGGATCTGCCGCGAGTCCGAAATCCGCTACAAAACTCGCAGATGTCTCTTTGTGAGTGACGTGTCACCACCAAAGACTGTTCCAGAACTACAGTTTCCTTGAAACGGGACCTACTCAAAGCTGATCTGGAAACATGTTATTCCAACATAAAAGATGCTAACAGTAGCCTATGTGAGTACAATGAAGCTAACTCTGTACGTCACTGTGAACTAAATAATCAGGCTCTGATTCTGGATCGAGGACATAGGGAGTCGGGCTCACAGGCAGAGGAGCACAGATCCAAGCGTTTCACATGAGGTGACATCATCTCTATGCATGAAATTGCAATAATTAGAGTTTTGAGTGTTGTGTATCACCCAAGTTATTATCTCACATGTGCATAGGATGGACTGTGAAAAATGAAGAAAAGTGAAATATGGCCCCTTTTAAATGTGCTGACGCGTCACTGCACCTGCTAAACAGATGGCACCGAGAGGAGCAGGTGACAGGTCCAAGATGGCGGCCCCACGGCTCGTCAGCGCCGATAGACGGTAGCGGTACATGCGGCGTCTACTCTTTTTATGTCTATGTATCAGTGAAGATGCTGTTCAGAGGAGTACTTCCTGCTCCTTCTGTTCCCTCGGCCACACTCCCACATCTGCTGATCAGACGCTGTTTATGATCCTGCAGAAGCTTCTGGAGCTCTTCTTCTGTGAGAGGAATGCAGACGTAACAGTTTAATCATGTGTTTCTTTTATATTACTTCTATTCAGCATGTTTCATTTAGAGCTTATTCCCCTGTTTCCAGAGTCTCCTTTTATCTGTGAAAGATGTAAGTCTCAGCAGAGTTTACTTCAGCTTTAGTGGCACAGTGCATCCAGAAAGTACTCAACCACCTTCATGCAGTTTGGACTATTTGAACACTTATGTACATGGGATTCTTTGTGTTTGATTCTTAACCAAACGGCAAAGAATCCTAAAAAACATCTTAAACTTTGTCATAGAGTATTCCGAGTAGATTGACAGGAAAATGAAAACCGTTGAGATTACAACTGTAGAAATGAAAATTAGGGATGCACCGATATGAACACTTTGGCCGATTTTGATATCCGATATTAATGTTTCTATTATGGCCGATAACCAGTATTTGCTGATAACGATGTTTATAAAATAATAATAATAATAATTCTGAGATGATAAAAGTTTGTACATACTGAATTTATTTCTCTATTTTCAGAATGTATTTTATTTTAGTTAGAATGGGCGATGTGGGAAAAGGCACACAGGAGCTTTTTGTGGCTCTTATTTTGAGTGAAAACTATCTTTAATGCAGCGTTTGTAGTAGTTATAAAAAGAGTAATGGATAAAAATAGACAAGAATAAATAGTCACCAATAATAATTGATAACATTAAAAACTAGATAAGGTTTAACATAGTATTAAAAGTGGTACATTTCATGCTATAATAATACTGTTGTGTTTCATAAAGATGATTTATAGTTCTGTAATCGAGTATCCACTAGCAAGCCTGAACATGGATTGATGAACATCGGCTGATATCGATATTTATACCAATATATCGTGCTTCACTGTTGAAAATGATATAAAAGTGAAAGAGGTGGAATACTTTCAGGAGCAGGTGTCAGACTGGTTTGTCCACGTATCGTTATATTCAGATTAAACAGGAGGAAATGTTTCTATAATTGAGGAGATGTTAAAGGTACAGACTCAGTATTTTTACACTTGTTCCAAATGAAAAACATCTAAATGAGACCTTAAGAATATTCTCCTCCACTATATTTGTGAATAGTTGTTAAAGGAATAGTTTTTAGAAGTCTCCGGAGAGAAGTTAGTGCGCGGACGTAGCGCTCCTAACTTCTCTCCGGAGACTTCTCTCTCGCTGCTACTGTGTGTACTACAAGTCACGCTGCTTCTATTGACGGAAGTGAGCGAGAGAGAAGTCTCCGGAGAGAAGTTAGTGCGCGGACGTAGCGCACCTCAGATTACTACGCCTCACAATATAGTACCCGTTTTATCCGCTGAGAAAATCGACTGTTACATTTCTGTGTTACTATACTTTGCAGTGTAACACGTCACGTAACTATATACATTTAATAGGGAACACTTGGAAGAGTTTGGTAGCTTCTAGCGGGAGCTACCTTTTGGGTACTATACAGTGACCAGAGGAGGCTGCGGTTGTGCTCCCGTTTTTGCTCCGTTTGCATGACAGAGCGCACGGACTAAGACCAGACAGGTACGTATTAACTAGTCTAAGGTAAGGTAAGAACATATGTCAGTATGTAAAAACGGTGAACTATTCCTTTAAAGGCTTAGAATGTGACCTATAAATGTCCATGAGGCTGGAAGTCGCTCCGTGTGAATGCACCATCTTCAAACACACACAAACATAAGAGACAAAAAGGACGTGAGGATCGAGTTTGTGATCTCACAGGTGATACTAATATCGTTGCTACTTTAACTGCGTGGCGCTCGAGAGTTGACTGTAAAATATGATCTCAACGTTAGATGGAGAAAAAAGACTATCTTTAAAGCCTTTACTTGCATTTGTTTATATCCTGTGTCGGTCACATTATAAATCCTAGATGGAAACATTTACTGCAGTAAAACAATTACAAAGTAACAACAGTTCTTTGAACTGAGTGCATTGTGTGTTTTCTACCTCTGGTCATAAACAGGGAAACAGACAAACCTTGTGTCGCTCTGAGGGCTTGGGCCCTGAGGTCTTGGGCCCTGAGGTCTTGGGCCCTGAGGTCTTGGGCCCTGAGGTCTTGGGCCCTGAGGTCTTGGGCCCTGAGGTCTTGGGCCCTGAGGTCTTGGGCCCTGAGGTCTTGGGTCCTGAGGTCTTGGGCCTGAGGTCTTGGGCTCTGAGGTCTTGGGCCCTGAGGTCTTGGGCCCTGAGGTCTTGGGCCCTGAGGTCTTGGGTCCTGAGGTCTTGGGCCCTGAGGTCTTGGGTCCTGAGGTCTTGGGTCCTGAGGTCTTGGGTCCTGAGGTCTTGGGTCCTGAGGTCTTGGGCCCTGGGGCTGGAGTCCAGCAGTGAGTTTTCTCTGGACAAAAACATTGGATATTAGAGCTGTAATGGTTTATTAAAAGTATATAAATAACATTGATGAGACTTTGTGTGTAGTAAAGGTGATGTTGTTGTGTGTTTGACCTCGTAGTGTAGCTGTGGTCAGATGGTACCTTCTGATCTGCGTCTACAGAGCTCCAGGATCAATGGTTCTGTATGTTTTCTGGTGCGGGGGTCCCACAGCAGAGAGAACACCTCCTAAACACTGGATCCTAAAGCATGGTACAGACCACTGTGATGAGACTGAAGCACCATGAGCACATGCAGCTCTCACTACAAGGTCAAATGTGCAACAATATACACTTTATTTCACAAAAGCACATTACTAAAATACACACGTTCCATTGTCATGGACCATGAACCCTCTTTTCACATGTGATGTTCATGTTTAATCCACTGGTGATTCTATGACTAAGCCTCACTCTGTCCAGTCGTAAACTTTAAATATAAATGTAATCTAAAGTCAGATCAGTGTTAAGGCGCGTTCAGACCAAACGCTTCAAAAAGCTTTTGACGCGCTTCAGCTGACGCCAAGATAGTTTTGTCATTTTGGTGCTTGAAGCTTTTGACGCGAGTGACGCGCCTGACGCCGGTGGGAGGAGCTTCTCTGTTGTCTGTAGTCAGGACAGCGTTGGATTTTTCAATGAGCAGCGAGCCTTTATTTGTTATATAAAGCAAAATAACATTGTTGTAGGGCTTCAACAAAACATGTTCTGGGTTCACCACAGACTTGAGAGGCTGCAGTGTTTGCAGAGTTCCGTCATTTACTCCAGGAGCTGCGTACGGAGGAGTTTCGCTTTCAGCGGTACTTCCGCATGTCACACGCCCAGTCTGAGTTCTCAAACCCCGGAGCTCGCCTCTCCCCGCCTCGCTCTCGCCTCTCCCCGCCTCTCGCTCGCCTCTCCCTGCCTCTCCCCGGCTCTCGCTCGCCTCTCCCCGCCTCGCTCTCGCCTCTCCCCGCCTCTCGCTCGCCTCTCCCTGCCTCTCCCCGCCTCGCTCTCGCCTCTCCCTGCCTCTCCCCGGCTCTCGCTCTTTTCTCCCTGCCTCTCCCCGGCTCTTGCTCTGAGCCAGACTCATCGTCAGCCTGTTCTTATATTAAATAAACTACATTTACTACACAGCATGTGTACTATGATTTTTGTTACTCAGAACGTTACTACTCATACAAATAATATTACTAATAACAATAATGACAACAAAACAGCAGCAACAGATACATGACTTCTCTTCATGACAGAGACAGACCCTCTGCTGCTGCTGCTCCTCGTCTCCTGATTGGTTGAAGCCCGCGTCAAAGCTTCAAAAGCTCAGCTTTGCTCAGCTTCGGCGTCAAAGGGATTGTTTTGATACGCGAGCGTTTCGCGTGTCAAAAGCTTCAAGTGAGCGCGTAGTACTTTTGAAGCTTTGACGCGCGCCAAGTGACGCCGGGGCTCTCGGCTTCACCTGACGCGCTTCACCATTCACTTTCAATGCAAACCTGACGCTTTTGACGCCGAAGTTAAGTCCGGTGTGAACGCCCCTTTAGTGTTTCCTTTGTTCTCACTGTGGGTTTGAAGAAGCAGCTTCAAGAATGAACTCTGGTGGATTCCACATAGACCCGTCACTCTTCAGGGACACAGCACTGGACACTGAGGATCTGTGTGGAGAGAAAGACCATGTTACTCTGGGTCCATGGTTCAACCATCAACAGAACAGGTAAGAAATGTGTTTTAATGCATTTACGATGGGACTAAATCTGACATAAATACTTAAACATTAAACATTGGTCAGATGCAGACCAGATAGAGACCAGAGAGAGAGACCAGAGAGAGACCAGAGAGACCAGAGAGAGACCAGAGAGAGACCAGAGAGTCACACCAGAAAGAGACTAGAGAGACCAGAGAGAGACCAGACAGAGACCAGAGAGAGACCAGAGAGAGACCAGAGAGTCAGACCAGAGAGAGACTAGAGAGAGACCAGAGAGAGAGACCCGAGAGAGACCAGAGAGAGACTAGAGAGGGAGACCAGAGAGGGAGACCAGAGAGAAACCAGAGAGAGAGACCAGAGAGAGACTAGAGAGAGACCAGAGAGAGACCAGAGAGAGACCAGAGAGAGAGACCAGAGAGAGAGGCAAGGCAAGGCAAGTTTATTTGTATAGCACAATTCATACACAAGGCAACTCAAAGTGCTGAACAAAACAAGAAAGCATTAAAATCATAAATAATCACAGAACATTAAAACGAAAGATAAAAATATAAAATCCCCCAGTTGTATGCACAGCTAAACAGAACTGTCTTTAACCTGGTTTTAAACATTGTCAGAGAGGAGGCCTGTCTCACATCTTCAGGAAGACTGTTCCAGATTTTAGCAGCATGAATCTAAAAAGCAGCCTCCCCATGTTTAGTTCTGACTCTGGGCACTAACAGGAGTCCAGTCCCTGTGCTCCTCAGAGTCCGAGCTGGTTCATATGGGACTAACATGTCACTAATATATTTTGGTGCGAGGCCATGGAGAGACTTATACACAAGCAGAGCTGTTTTAAAGTCTATTCTGAGCCACAGGAAGCCAGTGCAGAGACCTGAGAACTGGACTAATGTGGTCGTACTTCCTGGTTCTAGTCAGGACTCGAGCTGCTGCATTTTGAATGTACTGCAGCTGTTTTACAGCCTGTTTGGACAGACCTGTGAGCAGGCCATTGCAAATGGCCTGGAAATGTTTTTTAGATGGTAAAAAGCTGCTGATGTTACTGATTTGATGTGGCTATTAAAATTTCTGAGTCCAGTATTACCCCTAGATTTCTGACCTTGTTTGAAAGTTTTAGGGAGAGAGACTGTAGATGACAGATGACGCTCTCTCTTTGTTTCTGGGGACCAAAAACAATCATATCAGTTTTGTTTCAAAACACTAGAGGTGACAGAGTTAAACAGTTCATCTACAGTAGAATACGATGCATTCTCAAAGTTTATCATTCCCATAAATAGTTCACCCGTATTTTCATTTATGTGTCTTCTTCGTACAGTTGCAGAGTCCACTGGTGGTTTGTTAGTGAAACACATGTCAAAAAATATACAAAAATGATCCGAAAGCGCAACATCGACCACGTTTACATTAGAAATGTTCACCCCCTTTGAGAGAGACTAGAGAGAGACCAGAGAGAGACTAGAGAGAGACTAGAGAGAGAGACCAGAGAAAGACAAGAGAGAGACCAGAGAGAGAGACCAGAAAGAGAGACTAGACTAGAGAGAGACCAGAGAGAGAGACCAGAGAGAGAGACCAGAGAGAGACCAGAGAGAGTGACCAGAGAGAGACTAGAGAGAGACCAGAGAGAGAGACCAGAGAGAGACCAGAGAGAGACCAGAGAGACCAGAGAGAGACCGGAGAGAGACCAGAGAAAGACCAGAGAGAGAGACCAGAGAGAGAGACAAGAGAGAGACCGGAGAGAGAGACAAGAGAGAGACCGGAGAGAGACCAGAGAAAGACCAGAGAGAGAGACCAGAGAGAGACCAGAGAGAGACCAGAGAGACCAGAGAGAGACCGGAGAGACCAGAGAGAGACCAGAGAGAGACCAGAGAGAAAGACCAGAGAGAGACTAGAGAGAGACCAGAGAGAGACCAGACAGAGACCAGAGAGAGACCAGAGAGAGAGACCAGAGAGAGACCAGAGAGTCAGACCAGAGAGAGACTAGAGAGAGACCAGAGAGAGAGACCCGAGAGGGACCAGAGAGAGACTAGAGAGAGACTAGAGAGGGACCAGAGAGGGACCAGAGAGAGACTAGAGAGAGACCAGAGACCAGAGAGAGAGACTAGAGAGAGACCAGAGAGAGACCAGAGAGAGACTAGAGACTAGAGAGAGAGACCAGAGAAAGACCAGAGAGAGACACCAGAGAGAGACCAGAGAGAGACACCAGAGAGAGACCAGAGAGAGACCAGAGAGAGACCAGAGAGAGACTAGAAAGAGACCAGAGAGGGACCAGAGAGAGAACAGAGGAAGGCCATTCCAGAATTTGTGTATTGTTTTTCTTAAACTGTGTTCAAGTGGATTTGCCTTCAAACAGAACAGAGACCAGAGAGAGACCAGAGAGAGACCAGAGAGAGAGACCAGAGAGAGACACCAGAAAGACCAGAGAGAGACCGGAGAGAGACCGGAGAGAGACCGGAGAGAGACCAGAGAGAGACCAGAGAGAGAGACCAGAGAGAGAGACCAGAGAGAGACCAGAGAGAGAGACCAGAGAGAGACCAGAGAGCAATACCAGAGAGACCAGAGAGAGAGACCAGAGAGAGACCAGAGAGAGAGACCAGAGAGAGATCAGAGAGACCAGAGAGAGACCAGAGAGAGACCAGAGAGAGACCAGAGAGAGACCAGAGAGAGAGACCAGAGAGAGACCAGAGAGAGAGACCAGAGAGAGACCAGAGAGAGACACCAGAGAGACCAGAGAGAGACCGGAGAGAGACCAGAGAAAGACCAGAGAGAGAGACCAGAGAGACCAGAGAGAGACCAGAGAGAGACCAGAGAGAGAGACCAGAGAGAAACACCAGAGAGACCAGAGAGAGACCAGAGAAAGACCAGAGAGAGACCAGAGAGAGAGACCAGAGAGAGACCAGAGAGAGAGACCAGAGAGAGACCAGAGAGAGACCAGAGAGTCAGACCAGAGAGAGACTAGAGAGAGACCAGAGAGAGACCAGACAGACACCAGAGAGAGACCAGAGAGAGACCAGAGAGAGACCAGAGAGAGAGACCCGAGAGAGACCAGAGAGAGAAACCAGAGAGAGACTAGAGAGAGACTAGAGAGGGACCAGAGAGAGACCAGAGAGAGACCAGAGAGAGACTAGTGAGAGACTAGAGAGAGACCAGAGAGGGACCAGAGAGAGACCAGAGAGAGACCAGAGAGAGAGACCAGAGAGAGACTAGAGAGGGAGACCAGAGAGGGAGACCAGAGAGAAACCAGAGAGAGAGACCAGAGAGAGACTAGAGAGAGACCAGAGAGAGACCAGAGAGAGAGACCAGAGAGAGAGGCAAGGCAAGGCAAGTTTATTTGTATAGCACAATTCATACACAAGGCAACTCAAAGTGCTGAACAACATAGCATTAAAATCATAAATAATCACAGAACATTAAAACGAAAGATAAAAATATAAAATCCCTCAGTTGTATGCACAGCTAAACAGAACTGTCTTTAACCTGGTTTTAAACATTGTCAGAGAGGAGGCCTGTCTCACATCTTCAGGAAGACTGTTCCAGATTTTAGCAGCATGAATCTAAAAAGCAGCCTCCCCATGTTTAGTTCTGACTCTGGGCACTAACAGGAGTCCAGTCCCTGTGCTCCTCAGAGTCCGAGCTGGTTCATATGGGACTAACATGTCACTAATATATTTTGGTGCGAGGCCATGGAGAGACTTATACACAAGCAGAGCTGTTTTAAAGTCTATTCTGAGCCACAGGAAGCCAGTGCAGAGACCTGAGAACTGGACTAATGTGGTCGTACTTCCTGGTTCTAGTCAGGACTCGAGCTGCTGCATTTTGAATGTACTGCAGCTGTTTTACAGCCTGTTTGGACAGACCTGTGAGCAGGCCATTGCAGTAGTCTAACTTACTGGAGACAAATGCATGGATAAGAATCTCCAAGTCTGCTTTAGACACTATGTTTTTGATCCTGGAAATGTTTTTTAGATGGTAAAAAGCTGCTGATGTTACTGATTTGATGTGGCTATTAAAATTTCTGAGTCCAGTATTACCCCTAGATATCTGACCTTGTTTGAAAGTTTTAGGGAGAGAGACTGTAGATGACAGATGACGCTCTCTCTTTGTTTCTGGGGACCAAAAACAATCATTTCAGTTTTGTTTCAAAACACTAGAGGTGACAGAGTTAAACAGTTCATCTACAGTAGAATACGATGCATTCTCAAAGTTTATCATTCCCATAAATAGTTCACCCGTATTTTCATTTATGTGTCTTCTTCGTACAGTTGCAGAGTCCACTGGTGGTTTGTTAGTGAAATACATGTCAAAAAATATACAAAAATGATCCGAAAGCGCAACATCGACCACGTTTACATTAGAAATGTTCACCCCCTTTGAGAGAGACTAGAGAGAGACCAGAGAGAGACTAGAGAGAGACTAGAGAGAGAGACCAGAGAAAGACCAGAGAGAGACCAGAGAGAGAGACCAGAGAGAGAGACTAGAGAGAGACCAGAGAGAGACCAGAGAAACCAGAGAGAGACCAGAGAGAGAGACCAGAGAGAGACCAGAGAGAGTGACCAGAGAGAGACTAGAGAGAGACCAGAGAGAGACCATAGAGAGACTAGAGAGACCAGAGAAAGACCAGAGAGAGACCAGAGAGAGAGACCCGAGAGAGACCAGAGAGAGACCAGAGAGAGAGACCAGATAGAGACCAGAGAGAGACCAGAGAGAGAGACCAGAGAGAGACCAGAGAGAGAGAGACCAGAGAGAGACACCAGAGAGACCAGAGAGAGACCGGAGAGAGACCAGAGAAAGACCAGAGAGAGAGACCAGAGAGAGAGACCAGAGAGAGAACAGAGAGAAAGACCAGAGAGAGACCAGAGAGAAACACCAGAGAGACCAGAGAGAGACCGGAGAGAGACCAGAGAGAGACCAGA